TCAACTAAACTGCCTTAAAAAAAAAAAAAAAAAAAAAAAAAAAAAATTGGTTTGTGTGGGAATTGAACACACAACCACCGGGTTTCCCGTAACATGTCTATTAGTCTTTTTTTTTTCTAATTTGCATAATGAATTTTTCAAACATTTTTGTCTATTTAAAAAAGTGCGTAAGTTATGGAGATGGTAACAATCAAAAATCGATTATAAATTTAATTCTACATTTTTAGACCAAAAATAAACTCCCTTGGCTCACGGCCAATTTTTGACACCATGACCATGCGTAATATTAACCTGCAGTGTATATATACGAAGAATTTTTTCTAGTAGGATCAGAGTTGATTAACTGGTACTTGGTGTGGTACTAGGTTTATTGCATTTATGGCTTAGGGGCCGCGGTTTACCTCCCTCCGTTTAGTCATGCTGGATCAGGGGTAGTAAACTCAGCGATCGTGGGTTCGATTCCCACACGGGGCAAGTTTTTTTTTTTTAATTTATTTTTATTTATTTTTTTGTGAACTTTTGTGAAGTCGATTCCCACACGAGCCAGTTTTTTTTTAAAATTTTTTTTAAGGAAGTTTAGTTGATGGTTGATAATAAATAGCAAACATGGAGGTTGTGTGTTCGATTCCCACACGAACCATTTTTTCCCCTTTAAGGCAGTTTAATTGATGGTGGATAATGTACTCGTCGATGACGTCGCGAAATAACAACAAACAACAACGTGTCATGTCCGAACCTAGGCCGTCATGGAAGCTCACTGGCTCCTGTGTAATTCATGTTGAGCCAACTGCAGACGAAAAGGTTACAATCCTTTCAGAGATAAGCTGGAAGAAAGTTTTAGACTGTGCCCATCAATGGAAAGATTTTAATACTGAGGAATGGAAGTTAGCGAAGTCCTTGGCTTGCTTAACCGTTTTTGTTCGATCGTCGCTTCCAACCGTCAAGGCGCGTCTAGCCTAAAGAGGGCCTACATAGCAGGTCGAGATCCATGAAAAGTCGTATAAAAAGATGTGGGTTACCCACATCTTTATATTTGCACAAATAATTTAAATTGTTTTTGAGCAGATTAATCACACTGATAAACAGTTGTACTACAATCTTTAATTTGAAGGAGAATTGTATTGTGTTGCTTCAAAATACCGGTACTGCTGGTTCATTCGATTCGTAATAATAATTATAATACTGTACTGTATTAATATTTAGGCTTTTCACTCAATGTGGTCATCGTGATAATCAAAGAAGAAAACAATGATATTATCGAGAAGTATGGTTGGCCAACAAATAATAATGAATATGAATTGCAAACGTTAGCCACGTTTAAAAGACTTGTGTTTTAATTAGCATTTTGGGCCCGGGTATTCAACCTTTTTAAGCTGGTTGCCAGACAGTGTGTTGGGGTCAGTGGCGGACCCTGTCTCTTATACACATCTAGATGTGTATAAGAGACAGACCCTAACCATATAATTACTAACTTAACTGGCGAAACATTATCTAAGGAAGAAGAATCTGTCTTAACATTTTGTATCCGTAATGGATTAGCTACACGACCTAAGGACTCTGATATGTTTGTTTATGCTGAATCAATTTGGGAACAACTTAATAATGCTGATGCTCTACCTAAATCATTCATTAAACGTGAGAAAATTAAGAACTCAATTCGTGCAATGACATGTAACTTTCTTGACTTTGATAACCTAAATTTAAATTGTGATGCCAAACGTATTAATACTTTAAAAATCTTACGTAATAAGTATGTAATTCTTAAACCTGATAAAGGA